TTTATTCAGAGAGACATTTCTTTATTATTATTATTTTTTACTGAAGTTTTTGTTCAGTCACTATGGCATGTCCGATTCCTTATGACCTCATGGACTATAGCACTCCAGGCTCCTCTATCTTCCACTATTTCCCAGAGTTTGCTCAAATTCAGGACCACTTGGTCAGTGATGCTATCTAACCATATAGTTGACTTACAATGCTGTGTTAATTTTTGCTGTGCAGCAAACTGATTCAATTTTATGAAAATGAAAGTGAAAGTCGCTCAGTGGTGTCCGACTCCTTGCGACCCCATGGACTGTATAGTCCATGGAATTCTTCAGGCCAAAATACTGGAGTGGGTAGTCTTTCCCTTCTCCAGGGGATCTTCCCAACCCAGGAATCAAAATAGGATCTCCTGCATTGCAGGTGAATTCTTTACCAACTGAGCTATCGGAAGCCCTCAGTTTTACCTATTATGTAATATACTTTTCAGTATTCTTTTCCATTATGGCTTATCACAAGGTTTGAACATAACTCCCTGTATTATACAGTAGGACACTGTTTTTTATCTATCTATCTATCTATCTATATACCACATCTTCTTTATCTTTTCATCAGTTGATAGATGTTTAGGTTGTTTGCATGTTTTGGCTATTGTAAATAGTGCTGCTATGAACATAGAATGCATGTAACTTTTTGAGTTACTGTTTTGTCTAAATATACATCCAGGCATAGGACTGTTGGATCATATGGCAAGTCTATTATTAGTTTTTTTAGGAACTGCCATATTGTTTTTCATAGTGGCTTTTCCAGCTTATATTCCCACCAACAGTGTAGGAAGCTTCCCTTTTCTTCACAACCTTTCCAGCATTTGTTATTTGTAAACATTTTACTGAAGACAAGAATGTATCACTGGCATGAGGTGGTATCTCATTATAGTTTTGACTTGCATTTTTCTAATAACTAGAGATGCTGAACAATTTTTCATGTGCCTATTGGCCATCTGTATGTCTTCTTTGGGAATATGTCTGTTCAGGTCTTCTTCCTACTTTTCAATTGGGTTATTTGTCTTGTTGTTGAGTTGTATGAGATGTTTGTATATTTTGGAAATTAAGCCCTTGGAGAGAGACATATTTTCAGCTTGTAAAAGTTGTGGCTTAAAATGGAATAATATAATTTCATTCTTAAAGTACAGACATCCTTTCAAAGATTATTCTAATATGATTACCTTCTAAAGATTCCATCTTTCTTTTTTCTGTTCTTTTACCACATATATCAGTACAATTAAGCTAATACCAATTATAATGTTTCTTCAAACTGAAGCTAAAGAACCTCAAGGGGATGGTGAGGGATCTCAGAGGAATTTGTAGTGTCTCAACAAGGCCAACTCCAGGGGCACAAATGCCTCCCTACATCAACAGTAACACCTGGCTCTCTTGGGAACTCTGGGGCCCTTCTATCAATTTCCATTCTCCTCCAAGACCTCCAAGGTTTTCCAAAATGTAAGAAATAAATGTTTACTAATAAATTTAGGGCCCCAGTAATGGGTGAGCTCAGGAGGAGAAATTCAGATAGATTTGAGGATTCTACAAAAGAAACAAATGAGTTTGGTTTAGTTATCCTTGTCTGTTGACTATTTCCTCTTTATTCATTCCAGTGACAAGGGGTTTTTAAATGTCAGTTGACAAAATAATCCTGGCATGCCTTTGCAGAGTTTCAAAATGGCAGTTCCTAAAATTTGGACCCATTAACCATTTAGGCAGTTCATAACACTTCCAATGACTGCATCAAACTTGTGATTCCTTTATAAATACTCTGTCTACATCTGTCTTCCTCTGTCCCACAGCCATTTTTCCAACAAACAGCAAACCTGTTCCCCACCAACCAGGCTCCCTTCCCACCTCTGGCACATATCTTTCTTCCTAATGGTAATGCTCCTTCTGTCAGAAGCCAAATACATGCAGTGGTGAAGTGGAAATAGGCAGAGCTTCCTTTCTCATTCTTGCTTTGGGGAAGAAGAAAAGTAGTTTAAATAAATGATATGGGGGTTTATAAAGAAACCAATAGTGGAAAAACAGTCTGTTTCTCTCATTGGAGCTGCTAGTGCTTTTAAAATATCTGTCATCTGTATCAGCTCTGTGAAATTATCATCCCACTTGTCTGACCTAATAACCTAATGAGAACCTAATTAATCCTCACTACTGGGCTAATAATACCTAATTCTTCCTTGTGCTGAAAGCTTACTTCAGTTCAGTTCAGTTCAGTTGCTCAGTCGTGTCAGATTCTTTGTGACTCCATGGACTGCAGCACGCCAGGCCTCCCTGTCCATCACCAATTCACAGAGTTTACTCACACTCATGTCCATTGAGTCAGTGATGCCATCCAACCATCTCATCCTCTGTCATCCCCTTCTCCTCCCGCCTTCAATTTTTCCCAGCATCAGGGTCTTTTCAAACGAGTCAGTTTTTCACATCAGGTGGCCAAATTATTGGAGTTTCAGCTTCAGCGTCAGTCCTTCCAATGAATATGCAGGACTGATTTCCTTTAGGATGGACTGGTTGGATCTCCTTGCAGTCCAAGGGACTCTCAAGAGTCTCCTCCAACACCACAGTTAAAAAGCATCAATTCTTCGGTGCTCAGCTTTCTTTCTAGTCCAACTCTCACATTCATACATGACTACTGGAAAAACCATAGACTTGACTAGACAGACCTTTGTTGGCAAAGTAATGTCTCTGCTTTTTAATAAGCTGTCTAGGTTGGTCATAACTTTTCTTCCAAGGAGCAAGTGTCTTAATTTCATGGCTGCAGTCACCATCTGCAATTATTTTGGAGCCCCCGAAAATAAATTCTGTCACTGTTTCCACTGTTTCCTCATCTATTTGCCATGAAGTAATGGGACCAGATGCCATGATCTTAGTTTTCTGAATGTTGAGTTTTAAGCCAACTTTTTCACTCTCCTCTTCCACATTCATCAAGAGGCTCTTTAGTTCTTTGCTTTCTGCCATAAGGGTGGTGTCATCTGCATATCTGAGATTATTGATATTTCTCCCAGCAATCTTGATTCCAGCTTGTGCTTCCTGACTAGACACCAAGAACTGCACCAAGCATTTTACAAGCTTATTCTTACTTAAACAGCACAACCCCCTGGAATAGTTATTGCTATTAATCCCACTTTATAGGCAAGGAAACTAAGGTTTAAAGACGTAAAGTGACTTATCCCAGAGGGACACAGTTCATAACTTGCAGTGCTGGGGTTTAAAGCAGTGTCAGCCTTTTCAAAGTTCATACACTGGTGTCTGACTTGGTTTCTTCTTAGCTGGGCTTCACACCATTCTCATGAAGCCTCTTCCAAAACCTGGAGGCTGTTAGCTATCCTGCCTCCTAGTAACAGTAATTCCTAACCACCATTAATTGCTTCAGCTGCTCCCCAGGACTTACCTCTGTCAAACATTGCTGTGCAAAGTACAACATTGTTTCCCTTCCTCTCCCAGAAAGACAATCAGAAAAACCTAAAGGAGACTTCCTAAGAAACCTGTGTTCTGTCTTTCCCTTATCATTCAAGTTCTGTGTTTCTGCTAGATGCCCACCTCCTTTCAGACAAGCTACTTCCAAGCTACATGTAATCAGCATGAGAAAATTTGACTCTTTGGAAAGGTTCTAGATTCACCTTACTTTGAAAGTTTTAAAATCTTTTATAGGCAGCACTCTCTCATTCTATTTGCAATGGGCCTTTTTGTATGGCTGTCCTTCTACACTTCATTTTACCTGTTTCCCTAAGTCAAAATATCTTCTTTCCCTCGAGGCTTTTAAGGCACACTAAGACCCACTGATATCTATATGACAGTTTCAGGATAAAAGAAAGTAAATGGACATTTGAGAGCATCAAATATTTATCAGGCAACTATGAAAGACATCAAGGAATGCTACAGGAATCAAGGTAAAACATTATTATGATTAAGTGCATACTATATTTCCAAGGAATTTTAAAGATGATACTGTAATAATGAATTTATTCTTCCAAATTCCCCAGAAGTTCTAAACTTGGACATCACAAAGAAATGTTGTCATATTCTCTTGCCAGAGCCACTTGGCACTGAGGGGTTAATGATGCTCCAGCTTAAATCAGAAACAAGTACTAAGGGCCTCTCTGATGTCTGGTTGCAAGGTACTTGGAGAATGAAACTCAGGTTCATGTGCGGTTCCCAAAAACCCGATTCCACCTTGCTCTCTGACACCCCCCACTTCAAACAGACTGCATTCTCAATCCTCCGCTTATTTGAACACAACTTTCACACCTAACAAATCAGAGAGCTGTAATTACAAAGTTTCAGAAACGTTTCCTGAAAGCGTCCCTAAATAAGAAGCTGTTTCGCCATCCTTTTAAGTGTCGTAATAGTCTCTTTCTGCGGCAAGGACACAGACCAGTTCCATGTGCATGTAAGTCCAGGTGTGTACACACAGCCCAATGAATCTCCATTCATTTTAAGAGGAAGGGTCAGGTTTCACACCGAGACTTAGCTGTCTTCTGGGTTGAATTTTTCTGCTTCTCAGTCCCAGAAGCCCAAGTGGGGACTTGGGACTGCTTCTCAGTCCCATTTCTATGTTGCACAGAAATCTGGCTCCATTGTGCCTAGGTGGCCTAGTAGAAAGGGTTTTTTTCTTTTCTTTTCTTTTCTTTTTTTTTTTTTTTGGTACCTTTTCTGCTAAGAAACGGCAATGTGCTCTGCCTGCCTAACCCAGCCGCAGCCTGTCGTTCCCTAGACAAAAAGCGGTGGCCCGCTGCTCCCTGCAGCGGCCGCGGCTGCGACTCGGGGAGGCCGATCACCCGGGACCCACGGCGTTACGTTTTTGTTGGGCCGGCTACAGATGGTGCCCCAGCACCGGGCTGAGTCGGGGGTGGTGTGGGAGGGCAGGAGGACAGGCGGGGGAGGCCAGGAAGGGGGTCGGGCGGGAGGGGAGGAGACCGTGGAGCAGCCAATGGGAGTGCAGCCCATCAGCTGACCGCTTTTGCTTACACCAGGTGCACGCCGGCTGCGGGGAGCACAAAGCGGGGCGCACTGAGGGCGCCGGCAGCTAGCCGGCGAGCTAAGCGAGGCCCGTGCGCCCGCGCCTGCAGCGCCCTCCGGGCGGGGAGAGGGGCCGCCGGCGTCAGCGCGGGCAGCAGCATCCGCGCGGTGGCATCCCTAGGCGCTTCGGTCGCCGTCCTTTGGACCTGGACACTCGCTGCCCCGCTGTCAGCATCCCGCTTCTATCCTTTACCCCAATCTGCCTGCCTCTACCCGGCCCCCGAGAGCCGGATTGAGCTCAGGCCCGCGCAGCAGCTGTTGCTCGTGTTACTGCCTCGCTTCGCGTCTTGGTGCTCTGCCGCGAGCCCCCTAAGGAGCCAGTGCCTGTGGGTTTGGAGGGAGGTGCCGCTCAGCCGGTCCTCCTCCTTCTCCTCTTCCTCCTGCTGCCGCCTCCGGTGCCTGGTCCGTGCGCACCCCGACACCCCTGCCAGCCGGGCCTGGGGTAAGTGCGCTCGCTCAGCCGGGCAGCGGCGGGAGATGTGGGCGGCAGCGAGGGGAAGTCAAGGCAAACTTGGTGGCTTGGAGGGCCAGAGAAAGGTCTGGGGAACCGTGGGACAAGATCGCGGGCCTAAGAGGTACGAGGGGGCGCGGCTCATGAAGCTGGGAAAAATGACGGATCTGGAGGAGCGGGAATCTAGTAACCTCTTTACGGGGTTTTGAAAAAGCAAAAACAAAAAAAAAAAATCACTGGGGTCGGGGAGAACGGTAATTCGGAAGGAAGGCCGAACAGAAACGAGCAAAAGGCAGTGACAGGAGACGAACCCACTAGATTCCCGGGACCGACGGCGGGGAGGGTGATGCCCAGGGATCCAGAAGAAGGAGGGCTGCTGGAATCTGAACGGAGAAATGCTGCCAGAGTCGGAAGGGGCCAGGGGAGTTGGAAAGAGGGCTAAGAAAAGGGGAAAGAAGGTGGCAAGCTGTGGAAAGAGAAAAGAGAGAAGATGTCTTGGCGGTGGCCTTTTTGGCAAAAGGGTAAGGGGCGTAATTCACGAAGCACTTGAGTGTACTGAAGTGAAAGCATTCGAAAGAATCAACTCAGCTGTCGCGCGGTTTAAGTGGGGAAAGACCTCACCCTGCGTCGCGTTCTGAGTCCGGAAAGGGTGGCAGCCTCAGGAGGTTTGCCAGGGATGCAGAAATGTCTGGGAAACCTCGGTCCGCCCCAGGCATGGAGCCGGTGCCGGTTCCAGGCTAGGCTGGGGCGAATGGCGGAAAGTTTGCCAGCGGGTGTCTTTTGTGCTGCGTGCAGAGGGGTGTGGGCAGCCGCCGACCCGGCACTTCCCAGGGCCCGGCTGTGACTGCCTGCACCGAGGGGAGCCGCTGCCTGGTAGGCCCAGGTAGGGTGGAAAGATCGAGTAGCTGCAGGGGCTCGGCTGACCCGGGACTGGTGGGAAAACCCGTCCCAGGACGGTTGTGAGGAAGCCGGCCTGGATACTGGCGCTGGGAGGTTGGGCAGTAGTACCGCCTTCGAGAGAGAGAGGGGGACCTTGCCCGCTGAGTTCACCCCTGTAGCCATAGCGCCTGGGACTGAATGAATGAATGATCGGGGTGTGGAGGTTTTGAGACATTCACTCAATTTTCGAACCCCACATGCCAAGAGTTGAGGAAAATAGACCCTTCTCTAAATAGCACACCACTATTAGCATCTTCATTCCCAGACCCAGATAATAAAGAAAATTAAATTCATTGAGGGGACAGGTATTGCTGAGTTGAGAGCTTTTTGCTTGTAGGATATTTGGGAAATACAGTATGTTTTATTTTGCAATTTGCTCTGCCACCATGGCCTAAAAAGTATTAACACTACTCGAATATGCCAATTATTTTTGAAAGCCAGCACTAGAGGACTGGAAAGTCCAGGAAGGTACTTTGATCAGTGTAAGTCTACAGTTAAAAAGTGGTGTTGTTGGCTCTGGGGCCATGTGTGTCCCTAAGTCTCTGATTTGCATGCAAATGTGAGCAAATCCTGGCAGATGTCTGGCCTCATCCATTCACATGAAGGAATTTGAAAAGACAAGGAGTCTTTAGTTAACAATAGACCTTAAGAAAATGGAATAAAGGCTCAGTGAGTTTTTCTCTTTGGGAATTCCAAGGCTTGCTGACACCTTTATTCAAGAGCCAAAATCTCTGAGTGTGATTGTACTGAAAGCTCCAAGCACTGCTTGCTCTTTACCTGGCTGTGTGTTTTTGTGTAATATTCAAGCTGGATGTTCTGAGCTAGTGAGGAAAAGTGTTAAATGAAGCAGAAGGTAACTTAATTCCACTTCTGGTGGTTTGAAGTAATTTCTGAATTGACCCCTTAACTTTTATTTAGAGTTTCTTCTCTTTTCCTTTTAATAACCCCACCTCCTGCTCACATAGGCTCTCCATCCTCAGGGATATACAATATAGTTGAAGATAGTTGTAGATGACTGACAGGAAGATCTCACTAGAAGATCTTCGTAGTCCAGTGAAAATCATTTCAGTAACAGGCACCAAACTTTTAGAATTGCAGGTGATGAAACCATCACACTCCTAGTCACCTGAGGGGCTTTAGGGCCACAGGACAGCACAGTGAACAGCAAGGGACTTCTATAATGGACCCTCCAACAGAGAAATGTCTGCCTTGTCTAAGAGTAGCCAACAGACCACTGCACTGCTCTCACCTCCTGGAGTTGGTCAACCGCTGAACAAAAGGCAGGCAGTGTGGTCTGCACGTGAGTCCCAGGGATCATACCTATGGCAAGCCAACCAGTGGCCTCGTCTTTTGTCAGCCTCAATCACTGTTGGAGGGAAGAAGAACCTATTCACTGAACAGCATTTGCCCCTGTATTCTATATAGTCACTGAAAAGGACATTAAAATACAAGTTAAAAGAAAAAGAGAGAGAGAGAGAGAGAGAGACTATTGTTTTGAAGCTCAGTGGGGTGGGATGGGTTTAGGGGATGGGTAACAGATGTTAGTTTGCTATTTTACCTGTTTTCTTAAGTTATTTTTGCTGGTTCAGTGACTTCTTTTAAACACATAACACAATACTTTCTCAGAAGGGGAAAATTGAACTGAGTCAAATTTAAGTAAGAAAAGACTACAGCCAAGATTACATTTTTCTGTCTTAGGGCTATCTAGAAGTCAGAAAGTTACAAATCATTATAATAAACTCTTATGTGACTTAAGCCTGGGATTCTGTGTTTATTATGGACTTGAAGGGTACCTATAAAATGCAGTTGGCATTTCTAAACTAGGCAATAAGTCATTTTATTGTAAAGTTATCATCCAGATATTTTTTGAAACAAATGTGGTAACTTTAAAATAACCAAAGCTTCACCTTTTGTGAGAATTTCTTTGGTTGTTATCCTGGCTGTGTGAGATTTTTGTTCCACAAGTCTAATGAAAGGGAAAATTAGGGCTTATTCCTTAGTAAATAAAAGCAATAAAGTGCCTATTATTAGAAAAGTATCACTCTGCTAAATAAAATCTTAGACCAGATCCAACTGCATACTCTGGTTCTGAACAGTAACACAGGTAGTTTTGCACAGTGTCTGTAGTTCCCAAAAAACCGGGGGAAATACAACCACTGATTTCTCTTTGGTTCAAACCTGTTAAAGCTAGCTTTTTGACCTGAACTGTTAGAACAATTATCACATATTCTAAAGCAGTTATACTCATGGGAATGAACCCAGTCGGTACTAAAGAAAATTTGCCTTTACAGAATTATACTGCTACTTCCCAAGCCAGTTGGGCATGATTTTAAATAATCAGAATGGTAGACCTTTTTATGCCACCATAAACAAACCACAAACCATGAGTAAAATGTGGTAAATTACAGGACCTGAATGTCATTTTTTACTAGACTTTCATAATACTTTCTTATAATTTATTTTTAAGCTACAAAATAATAGTTTTTGAATGATTCACTTGCACACTAATGTAAGGTTGCTCAAATATTGTATTTAACTTTTCAAAATTATTATGCTGAACATCTATTTTGAGTTAAGGCAATCTGGAGATAAAGCAAATTCTATTTCAGAATCATAACCGTATTTTGGTTTCTGGGAACAATGGAAGTATCTTTAACTCATTAATAGAGTTTTGATTAATATTTTATTCAGGATGAAATTATAATTATATAGATAAAGTCAGAAAAACATGTATTCTCTCTTGTTTTGGCTCAAAGTGCAGAATAGAGACAAAAGTTAAACCCTATATGTAAAATTCAGTACTTTAGTGACCAAGGGAACCATTCATTCTATAAGTCTTAAATAAAATTTGCTTTTTAAATTTTCTTGTTTTATCATAGTACTATTTGCCTACTTGCTTCTCTTATAGCTCAGCTGGTAAAGAATCCACCTGCAATGCAGGAGACCCTGGTTCAATTCCTGGGTCAGGCAGATCTGCTGGAGAAGGGATAAGCTACCCACTCCAGTATTATTGGGCTTTCCTGGTGGCTCAGCTGGTAAAGAATCCATCCGCAGTGCGAGAGACCTGGGTTTGATCCCTGGGCTGGGAATGCCCTGGAAAAGGAAACAACTACCCACTCCAGTATTCTGGCCTAGAGAATTCCACGGAATCTATAGTCCATGGGGTCGCAAAGAGTCAGACACGACTGAGTTTCTTTCACTCACATTTGCCTACTTTATGGATCCATCACTGGATGTAGTATCCAAGTCTCAAAACAGACAAATGCATAATAAATTGTTTACTGACATTATAATTATAACATATGATATAATCATATAGCATATATTTTCAGACTTTATGGACACTCTTGGGCTTCCCTGGTGGCTTAGTGGTAAAGAACCCGCCTGCTAATGCAGGAGATGTGGGTTTGATCCCTGAGTCTAGAAGATCCCCTGGAGTAGGAAATGGCAAGCCATGCTAGTATTCTTGTCTGGGAAATCCCATGGACAGAGGAACCTGGCAGGCTATAGTCCAGGCTACAGTCCATGGGGTTGCAAAAGAGTCAGACATGACTTAGTGACTAAACAATGCCATGCTAACAGAAGTGTTAAGCATTTTATTCAATAATTAAAATTTATGCCATTTTATGTTCAGAGTTATTTTTTAAGAAACAATATGCAGGCTTATATATATATATATACATATATATATATATATTTTTTTTTTTACTTTTTGAATATTTTCAAAAGGTCTAACAAAAGTAGAATATTATTAGCAGTTTTATCAGTTATCTGGTTGGTAACTCAGTTATCTAATCTTAGCCAGGTGATCTTAGATCAGTTTCTTAACCCCACAAACTCTTAGTTCCCTCATTTGTATCTGACAAGGTTAGGTGAACAGGGCTGGAAGGACTGACTGCCCTAGTAAGTAAGATTGCTAAAAGCTTTGTGGACGTTGTGCCCTCATTACCACAACTAACATAAACGTTTAACTTGGATGGAACCTTTACACTTGATACACTGAAAATCATCCTGAGATGCAAAGAAACTAGGCTTAAACTTGCACTGATACATTACTGGAGGTCTGTCAACTTTGACTTGAGGGTACCCTCCAAAGATATTGCTGCCTTTATTTATGACATTTAGTTTCAAAAACTGAGGAGTGAAAACTGCTTTTACAGTGGCTTATTGCCTTCCATTTACACTCTTCATAGCTCAGGGGTTGAAATGTTATTTGAAAGCTCTGATTAATATAAATGACTGGTAATTTTCTGACCCATGCCATCCTCGC